CTAACCAAAATGGTGGATCGCTCAATTGGCACAACCTCGCTCAAAGTGACAGTGCTCACAATTTAATTTATTGGAATCAGGTTGGCGAACTTGAAGTGAAATAGAAACTCACCAAATAAGAAGGGTGAACAGGATGACCATCAGTGAAGGTGACAATACTTGGATGAAAACTGAAGGCTTAAAGGGTGAACGAAGGTGGTAATCGGTGATCTTTCGAATGTGAAATACATACTAAAACGAGATCATCAACTGAGGTTCAAACACCTGAAGCCTGAAGCAAATGAAAGATGAGCTAAAGAACAAAAGGCGATTCACCAATCATGTTTAGTGAGCCCAACACCATCGTCGAGTTGGTTACGCAATGAATTTTGGGAAACTATAATAGCCCAAAGGAGAGAGAAAAAAAGTGTCTAGTGTAGAGTTTCTAGAGTGGAGTTTAGAGTTCTGAGTAGTGAATTTTTGAGAGCCTTTGTATGAGATATTTCACCTTGTGAAGAACATCTTTAGTTTTGGGGTTTAAAATTTTACTTTTGCATTTAACAATGGGAAGTTGAAATCAAAATAGGTGTTGATTATAATTGCTTAATTTTATCACATCCATGGCTGCTAGTATGATAAGTATAATTTCTTTACTATTTGTGATAGGTGGCTAAAACTCGGGTGCAGTTATGGGGTTAAGTGTTGATTTAATGTAGTGTGTATTGTGTTTTACTTTGTTTTATTGCTTATCATCCATGGATTTAGGCTAATTATCATGAGGTTAACCTATGTGTTAATGTTGCAAACTTAATCCTAATTTCAATCTCTGATTGATGCTCGAAAGAGATCGACTACAATGTGTAATTAGTTTGATACATGCAATTTAGGTTTGATGTCTATAATTTGCTTGAAAGAGGAATTATGGTTCAGATCTATTTGTCCTAAACTTGCTCGAAAGAGAGATATCGTAAGGTAATGTGTTGTTTAGTTATGCACATAGATGGGACTGAGAGGAGATTCTATGAACTGATGTTTGAGATTGAAAGAAGATTAGTATCATTGAAGATGGCCCTGCCTATCGATGAATGTTTAGCACTAGTGAGCAACAAAATTACCCCTATGTGTCATCCATTTTCGATCCCCCGCACCCCTATATTGCTTGTTAATTACTTGAATTTTTGAAGCTTTAGTTTAATTGTTACATTTGATACTACAAACACTTTTAGTAAATTTGATGGAATCATCCACCCATTTGTCCAAACCTACTACAATGAACAAGTTTGCATTCTTGATTTCTTAGTTGAATTCTGATCATTATACTATTCCTTGTGGGATTTGACCCCAACTCTTAGTTGGGTATTTTTATGACAACGATCGCTTACTCTTTGAATTTATTTTTAGAGTAGTTTGAGCGTAATCACTATGTGTTATTAGCAAATGGTTCAACAGGGTTGGCTCAGGCCTATGTTTTGGCATTAGGTGCCAGTTGCACCCCTTGAGTTTGGGGCGTGACAAAATATAAATCAAGACCACACACTTTGAGAAATACTTTGTGTAATAATCTGATGTGTTTTTTTAAGGAATGAATTTGCTCTCTTACCATGTGAATATCATTTAAGAAAATGAAGCAATTAATGAGCTAAGGAGAAAAGAAGAGAATTGTGAAAATTTTATTAGTAAATGAGACATATCATATGAATATCATTAATGAAAATGAAGCAATTAAAGAGCTAAGGGGAAAAGAAGAGATTTATGATACTTAGTCAGTATATATATGAGATATACCATGTGGAAAATATTGAAGAAAAGGAAGCAATAAATGAGCTAAGAGAAAAAGAAGAGAATTGTGATACTTTATCAGTACACGAAACATACCATATGAATATCATTGAAGGAAGCAATTAACGAGCAAAGGGAACAAGAAGAGAATTGACATTATACATAATTAGAGCTTGTTTGGTTGGAAATAATTTATTTCGGAATTAATTTTTTTGAGATTGGTTATCCCATTTTGAATTTGGGATTAAAATAAATTATAATTTCGGAATAAGTTATCCTACAATTTTATTACGATCAAACATGAGATAAACTTATCGTAAAATTAATTTAAAATTAATTATTTCTTATCTCTCTTATCAAACGAACCTTTAGAGTTTGGCTCGTTGTCCAATTTTTTGAATTAAAACTCATTTCAAAGACTATAGATAATTAGTTTAACCCATACGGGTAGTTTGAGAACATTTCCTAAAGTGACTTTTACAAAAATGCTCCCGCGGAGCAAATTATTTACCTATTGCTTTCTCATGTTTTACAATTTATAACAGTAAAAAGGAGATACAAAACATATATGTTGAAGTCAATCATGTGCTAATGTAGTTAGTCTAACATAAGGCTAGGCACCGGAACGGGTTGTACCGGTACCGTTCCGGTTCGTTCTGGTACCGTTCTGGTTCGTTCCGATCCGGTAGTATTCGGGACGGGATGGGATACATTGAACCGGTACACGGAACGGAACGGTATCATGATTTGGTACCGGTATACCGGTACCGGTTCATTCCGGTTTCGTTCCGATCCGGTCCGATACCGGTCCGGTCTCGGTAAATCATTTTTAATTAAACTAAAAAATAATATTTTTGTCATTATTTACTTTTATTAGCATTTCTTTTTTGTTTATTTAATTTTTTAAAATTACAAACTTTAAGTTATTTAACTTACAAGTTATAAGTATAACTTAATAACTTATAAACTTCAAAAGATTCCTATCTTTAAAACTTATAACATAACTACATAAGCTCAAAAACTTAAAAAAAAAAAACTTTATTAAACTTAACTTACAAACTTATATACGTAAAAAAATTTAAAAAATATCTTTAAAATAAACTTAAGTAAAATTATTATAAATTTAAAACTTAAATACTATAAACTAATATAACTTGAAAAAAAATATTCATATTTTCGTAATTCAAAATAACTCAAAATAATAATATTTTTTGAAATAGCTATATGTGCCGTCCCGTTTATCCCATCCCGTTCCGTTCCGGTCCATTTCGGTCCGTCCTGGTTCTATCCCGGTATATAGTGGGACGGGACGGAACTGAGCCTCCATCCCGGTAGTTCCGATTCGGTTCATCCCGGTACCGGTCAACAACCCGGTCAAACCGTCCCGTTCCAGTCCGGTACCGGTTCGTTCCGGTCCGGCGGTCCCATTCCGGTGCAGTGCCCAGTCTTAGTCTAACATATTCTCGTTGTTATTGTTATTATCAGCAGAGGTTGGTGAAAGCTTAAAGCATATAAATAATTTATTCTGAATTGATTTTTTTTTTTAATTCTTTAACTTCCTATTAAACTAAGCATGAACATTAAAGCTAAAATATTACTCCTTCTGTACATTTTTATTTGTCACACTTTGACTTGACACACATATTAAGAAAATAATTATTGATATAGATATTTCACCAAACTATCTCCTATTAAATGATGTCTTGAAAAATGATTTGAAAAAATAAGTATTTAATGTTGAGGGTAAAACATGAATTTTTTTTTATTGTCTTTCCTTGATATGCCAAAAGTGACAAGGAAAAATGAAAATCTATTTTAAGAATAAGTGACATGTAAAAGTGAATGGAGGGAGTATGTAGTTTCAATTTAATTTTTTTTATACATTTATCAATTAAAAAGTTAATTATTAATGTTAGGTTGTTTTATTTTTTTTCAAATTTTTAATGCATCCACTAGTGCATATTTGTTTTTTACCTATGACATTGTTCATTCTTGTATTTCGTTCGTGGTATTTCTAGCTCCGTCATTATCCACTTGACATGTTAAAAAATATTTTTGTACATTTAATATAACTTTAACTTAGAATCATAAAAATTAAAATTTTTTCTTAAAATTCAAAACCATAAAAATAATTTTTTTTTCTTAAACTCGGTACCAAATCAATAAAATATAATTTTGTTTATGTTGACTCGGTCAACACCAAACATCCTAACTAGTGCATTCATAGTCGTAGCCTCATCAATTCAATAGCATCTTCCCTGTACTGCACAAATAATGGAGGAATACAAATCACTGAAAATCATTCAAAAATCCCCAAACTCTCTTGTCTATTACCTGTATCTCAACCGACCCACACATCTCAACGCTCTCTCACGTGACTTCTTCACTGAATTCCCCAAAGCCATCTCCTCACTCGATCAAAACCCCAATGTCGCCGTCATCATCCTAGCTGGCTCCGGCAAGCACTTCTGTTCCGGCATCGACCTCCAAACCCTAGGCGATATCTTCAAAGAATCCGACTCCGTCGATTGCGGCCGTAAAGTCGAGAGGCTCCGGCGACATATCAAGTTCCTTCAGGAGGCTATTACCGCCTTAGAGTGTTGCCGTAAACCCGTGATTGCCGCTGTCCATGGCGCATGTATCGGTGGTGCCATTGATATAATTACTGCCTGTGATATTAGGTATTGTTCTTCTGATGCTTTTTTCTCAGTGAAAGAGGTGGATTTAGCTATTACGGCTGATCTCGGGACACTTCAGAGGCTTCCCAGTATTGTTGGGTTTGGAAATGCTATGGAGTTGGCTTTAACTGGTCGGAGGTTTTCAGGTTCCGAAGCTAAAGATTTGGGCTTGGTGTCTAAGCTTTTTACTTCTAAAGAAGCTTTGGAGGAAGGTGTCAAAGTTGTTGCTGAGGGTAAGTGTGTCATCTGCATTCATTTTTTTCTCTTAGTAAAGTTTCATTCTTTTTATTTACCACTTCACTTCTATATTCCTCGACAAAAAATGTTCTTGTTCTACGTTGATGGTTAAATAAGTTACTCCCTCCATTTTAATTTGTTTTGAAGAAGTTAATTTTTTTAAATCTTGTGGTTTTAAACTAAAGATGGGTTGAAGGTACCATAATATTCTTTTAATTTTATTGTCTTAAACATGTTATATGGAAAGTTGAAATGAAAAAGATTATTTTTAAATAGACTAAAAAGGTGAGTTAGATAAACAAATTGAAACATAGGGATCATTATAGAAGACTGTACATTAAGCAAGTTCGGGTGAAGTAGTGTGCCAAGAATCAGCTTAGAATTTGAAATGCACATCATGATATCCTGTGAAAAGCTAAGTTTTGAAAGGATATTAAGATATAGTGAAAATCACAGAAAACATTTTTCTTGGGAAAGGTAACAGATAGTATATATAATAAGAGCACTGAGTGAGGTAGTACAGCCATATTTACAGAGAAACGAAGAACCCTTGCAAAATAAGATTTACAGAGAACCTATCAGATCTATCAGGGAATTTGTCTCCTCTATTCTCCAAAAGTAAAACATCAAAATACTGTTCATCTTAATTTCTGTGTTGAGGTCTGCTTGCCTTAAAAAATTCTTGCCGTCCTCTCTTTCCAGACTGACCACTATATATGGCATGCTGACACCATTTTCCATCACCCCTTCAGCTTCACTATTGCCCCATTGTAGTTCCATGAATGTAACAACTCAGCAATAGTCACTGGCATAACCCAACTAAAGCCCACCATGCTTATGAGCAGCTGCCACAGTTGAGCAGTAATTGGACAGTGAAGGAACAAATGGATATTTGATTCCACAGTTGAAGCACACAAAGAGCATAGTTGAAACCGCCTTTTTAAAAGATTTTCTTGAGTTAGGTGTGCTTGTCTTGCCAATAACCAAGTGAAACAGACCAATTTGAAAGGGGCCTTGGATTTCCAAATTGACCTTCATGGTCAGTTCCCTATCTCCTAGCCAGTATTAGAGAGGGAGAAGTAAGCTGATTTGTAGTTTGCCAAATATCGTGACTAGTTCATTCATAGAGATAGAGTGGTAGCTTCATCGTTTTAATTTCATCTTCCCTGTACTGCACAAATAATGGAGGGATACAAATCACTGAAAATCATTCAAAAATCCCCAAATTCTCTGGTTTATTACTTGTACCTCAACCGATCCAGACGCTTCAACGCTCTCTCACATGACTTCTTCACTGAATTCCCCAAAGCCATCTCCTCACTCGATCAAAACCCCAATGTCGCCGTCATCATCCTTGCTGGTTCCGGCGTCGACTTCCAAACCCTAGCCGATGTCTTCAAAGAAACCCACGCCGCCGATTGCGCCCGCAACGTCGAGAGGCTTCGGCGGCATATCAAGTTCATGCATGAGGCTATTACTGCCCTAGAGTGTTGCCGTAAACCCGTGATTGCCGCTGTCCATGGCGCATGTATCGGTGGTGCGATTGATCTAATTACTGCCTGTGATATTAGGTATTGTTCTTCTGATGCTTTTTTCTCCATCAAAGAGGTGGATTTAGCTATGACAGCTGATCTCGGGATACTTCAGAGGCTACCCAGTATTGTTGGTTCTGGAAATGCCATGGAGTTGGCTTTAACTGGTCGGAGGTTTACAGGTTCTGAAGCTAAAGATTTGTGCTTGGTGTCTAAGGTTTTTTTTTTTTTTTTTTTTTTTGATAACCGAGAAATCCGTCTGTGACCCGCCCTTTGGACCAATCACAGCCTTCTAAACTCGGTGGATAATGGACCCGCCCCTCTACCCTTCTCCACTTAAATACCGGGCTTCGCTTTGCATGGTGTGGGGCTTGAACCTGCGACCTAAGCCACAAATCCTCCACCTTTTGCCACTTGAGCTAGGCCTTGGGGGCTGGTGTGTAAGGTTTTTACTTCTAAAGAAGCTTTGGAGGAAGGTGTCAAAGTTGTTGCTGATGGTAAGGGTGTCGTCTGCATACCTTTTTTTCCTCTAGAAATGTTTCATTCTTTTTATTTACCTCTTCATTTCATTTCTCATTCCTTTAAAGGAATCCTTTCCTGGCCTATTCACTATATGCAACAATCCAGAGGCTACCGTCAATGATTCCTGAACTACACAGGGTTGGAATCCATCCTTTAGGAGATTATTGAATGGCTAGGAGGTGGATAGAGGGGCCAACTGTAAAAAGAAATAGAGAAGTTCACAGGCACCACCTCTGATCCCAACTGTCTGAGGTGGAAACACATTACGGATGGGATTTTCTCTGTAAATTGGACATATTAGATAATGAACAATACAATAGAAACCAACAATGCTTATAAGAAGTATATGAAAAAACTTAGTACCAACTAATGTAAAATGTTTTACATGGTCTGTTGCTCGAAGGGATTGTTTGACACATGAAGTATTGAAGTAGAAGGGATTAATTATAGTATCCAGATGCCAACTATGTGGGGCTAGAACAAAAGGGACCAATAACCATCTATTTTTGCACTACAGTTTTACACTTAGATATGGATCATTTTCCTTGGTCTCACAGATACAAAGTGGACCATGCCTAAGCATACTGCAAATTTGTTGAGCTATTGGATCAAAAAAGGAGGAAGCAAGAGTCAAAAGATATAGTGGAGGCTTATCTCTCGTTCCATCTAGTTGACTGTCTGGAGAGAGGAATAGTAGAAGTTTTGAAATAGGTCCAATTCGATTCAGAAAGTGGAATTGTATTGTATCTTTTTATTTTTGGTATAAAGAGAAAGGTTTAGATGAAACAAAACAGCTTGTAGCCTTTTTAGGATCCTTGTAAATTTTCCTTTCTGTGTTTTCTCTTTCTTTTCTCTTTTGGAAGTTCTCCCGTATATCCATTATGCCGAAAAAGACACCATTACTAGTTTCAAAAAAATAAATAAATTTAGTGAAGATTTCCTTGAGAGGGTCATGTTCCAATCAATTATCACACTCCAGAATAAAGTCTTTCTTCCATTTCCTACCTTTATTAAAGAGTTGGCATGTAAGCAGTTCCAATGGATTCTAGTAGCTTTCCAGACCCCAACTCGAAAATTACAGGATACTTGGTAGATTATATACAATTCAACGTCTTGGCATCCTCAGTATTAGCTAATATGTTAATTTATTTTACTTCTGAATAGTGATTGTGTGTTAATTGATGACTAGTGAACATGAACTTTGGGTTATCAGCTATTGGGCACCGACACTTGAATCCATCCATAATTTCATTACACCTGGGATTTACTTACCAGTTGTCAAAAAAAAATAAAAAATCAGTACACCTGAGGTTTTTCAAGGCCATGGTGGGAATTGTACTTTGCCCATCTTATTGCGTTCATGCAGTAATGGTGCTAAATCTCACTTGGCATTCACATTCCTTCCATAGCTTCATTTATAGGCTTTTCTTTGTCCTCCATGCTTTAGAGGACCCTGTTGGATGATGGTGCAAAGCAATAAAGCAAAAAGTATTGCTCATCTGAAGTTCTTTACTCTTTATTTTGGCGTTAAGAAGGGCATAATTGCTTTCCCAATCATTGATAAACTTAGTGACTTGACCATGAATTGGTAATTCTCGACTCTTCAACATTCAAATATTGTATGAGCAAGAATGCATAACTGGCTTTTATTAGTTTCCCCTACTATATGAACATTGTTGGCATGATATATACGAGCTGTTGACCTGGGACTTTGGAGCAAATGTTAATCTAATAAGTTCTCCAGCTGATGTTGGAATATTTCCTTCCATTAATTGAAGCATTTTTATTTTATTTTTTTACCTTTTATTAGCTTTATTTAGGCATGGACTTATAGTCACTGGTAGGACTTCAATAAAACATCTCTTAATTCAGACTTCTTTTGTCACTTTTCTTCTTGTACTTTTGTCTTTGACTTACATAGTATAACATACATCTCTTACGTTTGAGGGGTTAAAAGTAGATTTCACTTGCAGTTCTTTTCCTGCAAATTTGAATGGTTTAGATCTGTATGATCAGAATTTTGAATGTTTGAAGAGAGAGATGGGTAAACTGCAGTTTTTTTCTTCATCAAAATTAATAAACAAGTGCAAATTTTTCCATTTCTCTTTATCTGTGGAGCAAATTGCACTTCATTTTACTAGTATCTCTGAGCATCTTGCACATACTTGCTCCTCACTAGGACATCACGTTACAATCTGTATTGCTCTCATACACGTGTGTGGGTACCTGATAAAGTTGCATCTAGAATCAGATACTTCATCACATAATTTTGTATTCAGGGTTGTGGATCGAGTGTGGATACGAATGCTAGAGTGCGGCCAATAGATGTATATGTTGACGAATATGAGTGTATATTTCGATTAGTTAAAATTATTGAACTTAAACTAATAAAATTTAATTTTTAATGTTTTATTCATAAGATATATATAAATCTGTATATGTTGCGACACAAATCCAAAAAATCAAACCAAATATTGAGTCAATCTAATACGGTTGCTCATAGATGTAGTCAAAGCACCAAAGGTGTTGGTGATTTTGGGTAGTGGTGTAAGAAGAACGTTGGTTGGTGAGTTGGCATGCCATTTTGGTTAAAATGGATGGGGCTAACAGAGGAATCACAAATTTGACCCACTTTTATATCATTAAAGGTATATATTGACCAATAGTACATTAAGGGCATATATAGACCTAGTATGTTGTTGTTGTTTGTTATGGGCCGATAGTATAACATTAAGCGCATATATAGACCTATAGTATAACGGAGGGCAATATTAAACCTTTTTAATTGTAGGGGCAAATTTGATTCTTTTCTCTAGTTTTAACTAATGTAGCACAATGGAAGTTGGGTGTTTTGCTCCTTTCCAGAGGGAACCTTATTTTAATAACTTTGAGGCAAACCTCATCTATATCCATGGCTTATTATTCATGATAAGTTTGACTTGAATTCACATCAAAAGAGCAAAAAGAGTATGTATACATGTTGATAATTTATGTCATATGAAACTATGTACTCCCTCCATTCCAACTTATATGACCATATTTCCTTTTTAGTCCATCTAAAAAAATGACCCTTAATTTGGAAGCTAATTTTACCCGTAATGACAAACTTTTACCGCCACACAAATGTGATGACTTTACCGCCACACAAATGTGATGACATTTTTAAGATTACCACAACAACAAACTCAATCTAATCCCTCAAGGGAGGTCCACAAGTGAGGTATGAGGAGGATAGAGTGTATGTAGATGTTATCCTTGTTTCTGATAGACCCTCAGCTTAAAATAAAGCATACCAAGCAGTTAGGAAAAGGAAATGTAGAAATGAAGTAGTAGCAACAACGAAATAATATGAAATGAAAACTAGTTCACAAAATAAGAGGAAAGAACAATAATGACAATAAAATAATATGATTATTGATGTGATAACTAAAACTGAAGAACAAGAAATTACGAGGATAGTGCTAATACCACTAGTAAGAAAGAAGGTCCAAGTATGACCACTAAGCCTATTCCGCAGGAAAGCGAGAGAATGCTCAACTACCAACTAACCTTCTATCTAAGATCATGTCTTCGGTAAGCTCAAGATGTGCTATATCCTGTCTAATCACCTCCCCCAAATATTTTTGCGGTCTGCCTCTACCTCTCATGATTCCCACTATCTATGTTGCTCGGACTCTTCAATAATGTCAAGGGGTGCGTGTCGGATTCGCCAAAAGTAGTGTAATTTTGGAGAATCCAACACGGGTGCGGCATCGAAAGTGAAAAGTCCGCGCAACTTAGCCCACCGTTGCCAACCTTTCACACCTCCTCAGTAGGGCATATCTATACTTCTCCTCTTTACATGCCCAAACCATCTCAACCTCGCTTCCCCAACTTGTCCACCATGGAAGGCATTACCAACCTTGTCCCGAATATCTTCATTCCTTGTTTTGTCTCTCCTAGTATGCCCATACATCTACCTTAGCATCCTCATCTCCGCAACCTTCATCTGCTGAACATATGAGTTTTTGACTGGCCAACACTCCGTCCCATACAACATAGCTGGTCTAACCACTACTCTGTAACTTACCTTTAGTCTTGGCAGTATCTTTTATCACACAAGCCTTCATAGGTGAGCCTCCATTTTGCCATCCCGTACCAATATAATGTGTGATGTCATCATCGAACTCCTTACTACCTTGTATTAAAGACCCTAGATACTTGAAAAATTCTCTCTTGGGGATGACCTAAGCATCAAGCCTCACTTCCACCTCGACCTCATGCGCAACATCACTAAACTTACACTCCACGTATATTGTCTTGGTCTTGCTTAGGTTGAACCCTTTAGACTCCAGAGTTTTGTCTCCAAACCACCAGCCTAGCTCTAACTCCACTACAAGTTTCGTCAATCAGACTATATCATCTACGAATAACGTACACCACGGCACCTCACCTTGGATATGCCACATCAGTACATCCATAACGAAAGCAAAAAGAAACAGGCTTAGAGTCGATCCCTGGTGTAGCCCTTTCATGATTGGGAAGTGCTCCGAGTTTTCTCCCATCGTATGCACCTTAATCTTAGTTCCATCGTACATATCCTCAATCGCCCTAGTGTAAGCCGCAAGTACACATCTAGCCTTCAAACATCTCCGAAAAACCTCCCTTAGGACTTGGACATAAGCTTTCTCTAGGTCAATGAATACCATATGTCAACCCCTCTTCCTATCCCTATACTGCCCCACCGGTCTCCTCACAAGGTGGATGACATTTGTGATAGAACGCCCCAGCATGAATCTGAACTGGTTCTCAGTAATATATACACCCTTCCTCACTCTCATCTTCCCCACCTTTTCCCACTTTCATAGTGTGTCTCAACAACTTGATACCCCTATAGTTGTTGCAGTTCTGAATCTCACTTTTGTTTTTTAACAACGGAATCATCGTACTCTACCTTCATTCTTTGGGCATCTTTGTTGTCCTATTAATGACACTAGACAACCGAGTCAGCAACTCCTAGCCTGCCCTGCCTATACTCTTCCAAAACTCCACAAGAATCTCGTCTGGCCCAGTTGCTCTTCCTCTGTTCTTCTCACACATAACACCCTTAAGCTCGTCAACCTTTATAGACCTGCAATACCCAAAAACCTGGTGTCTCTTGGTGTGCTCCAACTACCCCAACACAATGTCCCTATCCCTCTTTCGTTCAAGAGCTTGTAAAAGTATGTCTGCTACCTCCATCTAATGAGTGCCTCCTCCACCAATTGTCTGCCTCCCTCGTCTTTGATGCACTTCACTTGGTCGAGTCTCGGGCTTCTCTCTCTCTTGGCTTGACTAATCTGTAAAACTTTTTATCCCCGTCCTTGCTCCCTAGCTCCTCATACAAGCGTTTGAAAGCTGCTGTTTCAGTCTCCATAACCGCGTTGTTTAAGACCACAAGTTTCAAAAGCCTTATTGCCACACAATTCTTATGACATGTTCAAGGCCAGTAGTTTTGAAAGTCTTCCGTGTCCAGTCAAGTAGGTGCACATTAATTGAAACACACTAAATAATTGTTATTCTGACTAGGCTCACTTTGGAGCAGTTTTAGCTACGCCTTAACTTCATCATCCCCCTCTTTCAATGGGAACATTTTACAAGTTTGAGTACAACTTGACAAATCTTATATAATATTGGACTGGAATGGACCAACATGGTTAGTATTGATTCATATATCTATACTCCGGCATAGTTGGTATTGATGCATAGTTTGGGAAATATTGAGTAAAATTTATGATTCACTTTCTTTAATTATTTCATGCTTGAGAGATGAAAGTCAATACAGAGGAGAGTGTCCCAGAGTCGAACATTGAAAAAGGATGTGGGTATTTGTTACGTTATCAAGAAAAAAAAGGGATGTGGTTATGGCTCGATCCAACATGTGTCATTGCTTTATTTAACCAGTGTCAACACAATAAGTTTGACTTCTGAATGATCCTTTCTTTTATTATGCTAGTTTATCTTTGCCCAAGTAAGGAGTTTGAAACTAGCTTTTGGATCCACAAGGGTTTTTGTGAGATAAAAACGTAAAACACGGGGAGGCAAATATGCACGATGTCCTCTTTATGCAAGAATTTTTTTGAAATGGAGATTTAAAGATTAAATATGTTGAAGACAAACAAACTAGAGGTGGCTGTTCAGATCTTCTATCCTACCCTCTTTCCTTCTGCACGTGCAGTATTAACGTTGGTCCATTATGGTACTCCGTGTCTGTTAATTCATGCTTTTCTCAAATCTTATGTAGCCATGTAGGCGGTCATCAGTTAAAAATGACTGAAAGCTGGAATTACACTCCCTTCTTTCCCTTGAATGGAAGGTGTAGGACCCTTATCTTCCATGGTTTTGTGACTGAATTTTGAACTGGTGTCATTAACATATATCTTTTCAAACCTGATTTTGTTCCTTGTTGAGCAAATATATGTACCATCTATACCTCACTCTAGATTCTTTTTCCACTTATTGCTTCTAGCACGAGGTTTTTGGTTACTTAGCAGGCCTTTTACTAGCTTGCTTCTTGTTCCTCTTCAGTTCTCTCTTGCATTAGTGAATAAGCTCATCATTTAGCAAGCTAGTTGTTGCATTCTTGAGGTTTTTGGTACCTGCAGGCCTTTTAATAGCTTGCTTCTTGTTCCACCTCAGTCTCTCTTGCATTAGTGAATAAGTTCATCTTTGAGCAAAGCTTATTTGTTGCATTCTTGAATATTGGTATTTTATGTAATTACTTTGACCTGGCTATTAAGTTGTTGATATTTTTTCATTAAAATGCAGAAATAGCTACAAAGTCTCCACTTGCTGTTATTGGAACAAAAGCTGTGTTGCTGAGAAGTAGGGATTTGACAGTGGAACAAGGCCTGGATTATGTTGCCACATGGAATTCTGGTGCCCTGTTATCAGATGACTTAAAAGAAGCAATTTCAGCACATAGCCAAAAGAGGAAGCCTAAATTTGCCAAACTGTAGTTTGGTAAATGATGGAATTTGAAATGGTGCGCAAATAAGACCATCTGTTGGTCGAGTGACGAGACTGAGAAGACACGGAATGATGCATAAGTGTCTGTCTGGCTTTATGAAAAGCTTTACGTAGAACCTCTATTATGCGCAAGGTCGATTTGGATATTTCTGTCTTGTGAAATTGTACTAGTTGGTTAGTCTGAGAAATGATATCATATGGAAAAATCACCCACGTGTTTTTACATGCTGCCTACATCATACTAATGTTGCAGCATATGTATTGTCATTATATGACTTAATTCACATCAAACTTATGTAAACTGACATCTCAACAACACCAATGTCCAGCTTTAAATAACGATCAAATGCACTTGCCTAGTGTGGCAAGAAGTCTTATGTGGTTTACAAGAGAATTGTCCTTTCTTCTTTTGTCAATGCTGTTAACATTTGGTCCGTCTATGGATTATGCTTGTTTTCTAATAATAAGTTATGTGATTGTTGTTTCCAGATATACATCACAAATTCACAATACTGCGGAATCTTTCCGGTGAAATTGCGGTCTCTCTAGCCATCTAGACTAGACTTTAAAAACCAAAGTATTTGCTCCAAAACAGCAAAACAACAGAGCAATGAGGTTGCGTTTTAACTGTATGTACCGTCATAAGAATGCAAAACAGGACAAGACAGGAAACCACCCATACAGATTTGGCGCAAAGGTGAGTCTCATCTTGGTAATAAAAATTATTCTTTTTTTTTGGAATATTTTTTTATTTTATTTGAAAGTTAATGTTTGACCATGAATATTTCAAATCAAATTTGAAGTCGTATTTAATTTTGGAAACAACTCATATCTTGTTTTACAATTCACTTTTAACGGTTAAGTTGTTATTTTTTTTTTTTTATAAAACAAACTCCCATCATTTATATCAGTCACCAACCGACGATGAGAATTAACAATGTCGCTTAGTCTTTTCGGTAGAGCTGTCAAAATGGGCTGGCCTAGCCCAATCTAACCCAACCCAATCCTAACGGGCTAGAGAGCTAAATGGGTTGGGACGGGCTGGCCCTTTTAATTAAAGGGCCTATAAAATAGCAGCCCAATTCAGCCCTAATTAAGCTTTCAATTTCTGCCTGCACATGTATTTATATAACAATATTATATGGAGTATGTAATTGGATATATGTATAATGATAAGTAATGATTAGAGTTGTTAAAATGGGTTGGCCCAACCCAATTCAATCAAATCTTAATGGGCTATAGAGTTAAATGGGTTGGGACGGGCTGACCCTTTTAATTAAAGGGCTTATAAAATAGCAGCTCAATCCAGCCCTAAGTGGATCACGGGTTGGGATGGATTGACCCTTCAACAAAAAAATGAACAATATTACTCTCTTAGAAAGAGTATATAAGAGTATCGAACGTTGACGTCTATAAGCACGACATCAATACATACAAATTTTCATTTATGAATCACACACTTCAGTGAATATTTACAAAAATACATTTAAGAATCACACACTTCGGTGAATACTTACAAAAATACATAATAGTCAACGTAAGATTTAGCGGAAAAATGTTGATCATTCCACCATTCCTCCCACAAAAAACTAGCTAGTTTAAAAGACTTGATTTTTTATTTTTAAAAATATTTATTGATAAAAACTTAACAAATAAAACACTACTAAAAATATATAAAAAATATTTTTAAATATTCATAGCCCACGGGCTGGCCTCTGAGACTTGCGGATTGGGCTTACGAGGCTAGCGGACCAAATGAGGCTGGGCTAAAAAGTCTCGTTCCTAAATGGGCCAAAAAAATTAGGCCCAACCTCACTTAATTCAAGGGTTGGATTGGGTTCGACCGGCCTAGCGGGTCAAACCCATTTTGACAGCTTTACTTCTCGGGTAGTTGATCAGAAAATGCATGTTCGACGTGAAGAGATTCTTCACACACCATGAGAGAAATATCATAAGAATAACTAGTTACAAGTGTTGATATTTTGTATTACTTTGTAAAAGTATTTAAAAATTGACTGGCTGTAGTACTTTTATATCAGTTACCAACTAGCAACGAGAATTAACAATGTCTTTTTGTCTTCTTTGCCCTACCGTTCTGCAAGTTTAACCTAAAGGTGTCTTTTCTTTTTTTTTGAGAAAACCTAAAGGTGTCTTTAGAGTGGAAAAAGTAATTAAAAGGTGTACTTAGATTGGAAAAAATTATGTCACAAAGTTTTGGGGAGGTGTTTGCTTGCATCAAATTGTTTACGCTAGAAGTAGTACATTTAATTTATATGAGGTCAAAAGTATGATCTCATATTTTGGCCGAGTTTACCGTACCTCCGTTCCCTATGTTAAGTGGCCGTAATATTTTGCTACGTTCTACTGCTGTTACGCCAGAATAAAAGGTTCCACGTCTTAATTTAACCTTTTGTTTTTAGCCTGTTTACTAAGGTTCAAATATAGATTGAATAATGAAACAAGTAAGAAAGCTAGGATCCAAAAAAAAGAGTAAGAAAGCTAGGAAATAATAAGTAATTAGATTTGGTAATTATGAGATGTTATGTGAGATAAATACAGAGCAAGAGTACAAATTTGAATGTTTTGGTGCGTAAAATGCATCTCTGAGAACGCCTAGAAGCTGATGAGAAAAAGATAAAGTAAAGACAAGGGGAACTTAATGCACAAGAAAACATAGAGTTGCCGCTATATTGCTAGAAATCAGAATACCTAGCTACAAATGATTGAAACAAATTATTTATAGTTTAGACACTAGCCAATAGAAACACTCCATTTGACTCCTATAGAACCGAATCCAACAATGGGAGGCCATGTGGAGATGCTATTAGTGATGAAAACTAGTATTCCTATCGTGTTTAGGTCTGTACATGCTCGTCCACACACCTAAACCTTTTGACTCCTTGTCCCCCATTTTCTATTTGTCCACGTCATCATTTGCCTCGTCCTTAATATCTTGTTTCATACTTCTTGCTCGAGGCCTTGTTCAAGATCATCTCCTCGGTTCTCTCATGCTTTCTTATCCGAATGACACGTGTACAACTCCAAATTTACCCTATACAGATAGTTCCTTCGCCTTTTGGAAGTGGATCCATTCATGTTCAAGAAGCAGAAAAATAAACCACTTCATGAATATATATATATATATATAGTTTCCATGCTATTAGTGATGGAAACTAGTATTCCTACCCAGTGGCGGAGCTAGAATTTTCAATATGGAAGTTTAAAATATTTACAGTATACTAGAGTTCTTTTTTTCAAGTTGCACATTTGTATGAAGTAGCCAACGTTTTTTCAAATTTTCTTAGATTCTGCTGCCTTTGTTTCTCCTCCTCTTATGAATATGTCTTCTACAACTCGTCAGCTTGAAGATCGAGAAGTCATATTCTCTGTCCCAAAGAAGTTGATCTTCGTTAGACCTTTCGAAATAGCCATTCTTAGGGATGTGATTGCCAATACTCTGATAGAGTCCTTTCTCCCTTGTAAGTTGGAATTTGACAAGGACTGAATTTCTTATTCTATGGCCTGAATGGCAAATTGAGGACCCAATATATCAAGTATTTTGTCTCTAAGATGTGTTAGGGAGACATTCTCGTCAAAAGGAAGATTGCGGTTGGTCCGAGTGGCTTGAGGTTCTTAATTTCCCCCTTTGTTTTGGTGGGCATCTCTACACTCAAACCTGACTATCTAGCTAGGTGATTTGCATATATATATACCCTTTTCTGATGGAGTTAATTTGGTCTTCATTCTTATCATCTAGTTCTGCCATAATTATAAGATTTCCCACGGTCTGGAGCAGTGTCTTGACTTTTGGTGTTACGTTGGCCAAATAGCTAGGTCTTCCCTTCACCATTAACCACTTCATTTTACTTTACGCCCATTGATACACTCAAATTATACCTTCCAATGAAGTATAAAGTGGTTGTTGTTTAAATATAGAACCTGACAAGGTTGTGGTCGAATCCCACATAGCATATGATGACATAAAAACAAGCGGAAAGTAAAAATTTAAAAGACTTTGGTTTAGTATCTAAATATTACTTTTGTTTATCAATAAGAATGCGAAACTAAGGTTGTGGATTCCCATTTCAGGTCGTAACTTTAATTTAGTTGTTTTTACAAAATTCTAGTGAAGTAATCTGAGGTGTAAAATGATTGACTTCTAGAGTTCTTCTAGTTTATCTAGACGATATCACTCTAAATCCTTGCTGCATTTGGCAGTTGCTTTAACAACTATCAACAAGTAGATTATTAATGTCAGGTCTCAATTTTTTAGATGAAAGACAAGTCCCAAATCCCTATACTTATAGTTCATTTTGCTACTTCTTTTCCAAGCAAGTATAGAGTTCTAATGCAGACTTTCATTAGAATCCATATAATACGAAAGAACTACTCATACACCAAGAATTACCGCTAGAATATCTAACTATATAACAACTTTACCTTTTCCTATTCTTGTCAATTTATCATATTCGCAGAAGGTAAAAGCTTTTTTCTTTCCTCCGGAAGGTAAAGTTTATTACATGGGTAGTCTATTTTTAAATCCTAAGCTAACACTTGATGGAGTCCTTTATGTACTAAATTTTGCTCACGATCTCCGCTTTGTGAGTCTACTGGTAAAGTAACTTGATATTGATTTATTATTTACTAAGGATAAATGTATACCACATGATCCTTCTCTAAGGAAGGGACTAGTTTTTGGTGATGTTGCTGGAGGACTCCACATACTGAGGAATTATACTTAATTCTACCTTTGATATAACGGAGTCAAGTTTTATAGGTTCTTTTTCTTTATGTTCTGAGTCTAGTCATGAAAGGCCAGTGTGCCATGTCCTCTTGAGTTCTATTTGTGATACTGATTCAAGTTTGAATAATAAAAGTTCTTCTGAATTTGTACATGATCTTAGAAAATTATGGCATTGTAGACTTGATCACTTACCCAATAATCTAATGAAAAAAATTAACAAATAGTTCCCTTGTGATGTTTGCCCCATCTCTTTCAATCTCATGATCATCCTAATTTCTTTATGGGGAAGGGCTTCTTACTGCAACACACTTAATTAACAAATTTCCTTCATCAGTCCTATACATAACCAATCTCCTCATCATAAAGTCCTTTTTGGGAAAAAACCTACTTGAAGACTTTTGGTTGTCTTTGTTTTTGCTTTACTCTTGCTAGACAAAGGGACAAGCAAACTCATAGAGCTCTACCATGCATCTTTCTTGGTTACCCCTTTGGTCAAAAAGGGTATAAGTTCTTAATCTACAATCTGGAGAAATCCATGTTTACAAAAATGTGAAGTTTGTAGAGTTTTCCACAGAGAATCTTTATTCCACATCTCTTCATTCTACTTTTTCATCTTCTACTAGCCCTACCCTACAGGAATAAGCATTACTTATAGCTTCAAACGAGCCTCCATGCAGATATGTAACACCCCCCAAAAAAATTCTAAGATAAATCTGAATCGTACTTTGTATATGGGTAGGATCG